CTTTTTTGTTCAATTTGACCTAAAGTATAAGTACACGACGGCAGTCGTCGTTACTATAACTCATTTATCTTACAGGATTATTCACAAATTTTCTACAATTAATATCTCGATAATTATTGCGAATATCGCAAAACGGTATGGGACTTTTATGTTCACTTCAATCTGTTCTACGCCCCCACAAAATGCCCGGAGGAGAGTGTGAGACACCCTGTATATATACACACAGGATATCTTGCAACTATCGTAAGATATTTTGATAGCGTATTTTGAAGATAAAGTAGAGTAAAAAATCCTAATACAAAAATGTCGAAGCTACAATAATTTTTGAATTATAACCGATCAAAGATTACCAGTAATATCGTGTAAAATTCGCGCGCTTAAGCCTGTAATTATACAGCACGCACAAAGTTTTATCATTTGTTATCGACTTCACGGTTAATATTGATTTTTACTACACAGCTGATTCCTAAAAACATTAATAATTATTATTGTTAGAATTATTAAATTTAATAGTTTTTACATTTGAGTAACAAAAATTTTTGCGTTTTTAACATGAAAAGTAATCATGGAAAATAATTTATTATTTTCGTTTTTTTTTCACATTTTATGAGCAGTGAAATTGTATAATTCTAATAAATCAAGGAAATAAAGTTAATTTGTCCACTTTTTTTAAACAATTTAAATATTTACTAAAATCTTGATATACTGAAATTATTGTAAGATCCGAACCAAGATTCGCTTTGACCGAATACCCTTTCTCCATTTATCAATCTTTATCATTTTTTTAGAAACAAATTTTTTTGAAAGAAACTTTAGACTTAATATAAAATATTTGATTATATCAGCATAAAAAATATGCGTTTTGAAACCTGTAATATTTTTATTTTCTATGTTTGACTTAGCTATGATAACGTATTCATCACGTATTTATCACGTATTCAGATAATAATATTAAGAAGTTATAATTGTTATGCATTGAAAAAAGATTATTATTAACAAATTGTATATTATAAGCAAATTATTTTATCCTTTATTTTAATGAAAATTTAAATATTTTATCAATTACTCCAATTATTCCATCTACAAAAAATTACATATACAGTGTGTCTCAGAACAATCTACGAAGCTCTCGTAAGAACATAGAGCGGATTAAAATAAATATAAAAGTCCTATACCGTTTTGCGATATTCTTAATAATAACCGAGAAATTATTAATGCGTTCCTACGTCTTACCGCACCGCGCCGAGGTGAGATATAGGAGCACAGCGGTGTAAGTATAGACAATGGTGCATTGTCTTCCAATCGCGCGATATTATTGGGCTGCGCTGTGATTCGGCGGTCTGTCCTCTACCATTCAGCACACGCTTTTCCTTAATCTTTCGTAATTAATTTCTCGATTGTTATTAAGAATATCGTAAAACGGTATAGGACTTTTATATTTATTTTAATCCGCTCTATATTCTCACGAGAGCAGCGTAGATTGTTCAGACACTCAGCATACATGGTGTCCCGCCTGTCGCGTCGCGCGCTCTAATTTGTCCAACTATTTTTATCAATATCTCGAAATTTTTCGTGGTTGTTTGAAAAATGACCTCTACAATTTTTGTTCACTTTTATCTGTCCTACTTATATTTTTCTTTTGGCACGTCTTATGCGGGACATCCTGTATATATACAGGGTGTCCCGCGTAAGAAAAGAAAAATATAAGTAGAGTACATAAAAGTGAAGAAAAATTGTATAGGTCATTTTTCAAACAACCACGTAAAATTTCGAGATATTAAAATAGTTTGGCATATCAGAGCGCGGCACGGAAAGCGGGACATACGGCTTACTGCCGGCGAAAAAAAAAAACGATTGCTCATGGCCCATCTTAAAGGCCAGAGAGGTGGACCGTTTGGCATACTGAAATGAGTAGCTCCGTGTGTGCGTCCGTGTACGTGTGCGTTCTTCCATTTCCTTGCCGGCCGCGGCGAGCCGCATGTCCCGCCTGCCGTGTCGCCACGCTCTGATATGCCCAACTATTTTAATTAATATCTCGAAATTTTACGTGGTTGTTTGAAAAATGACCTATACAATTTTTGTTCACTTTTATATATTCTACTTATATTTTTCTTTTCGTACATATATATATATATATATATATATATATATACAGAGTGAATCATTTTAATCGGACCAGGCAAATATCTCGAAAAATATGAAAGATACGGAAAAATATTTCAAACAAAAGTTATATGGTTTGGAGGGGGACATCAAATGGTGCAATTGGCTTGACCTTGGATAGTTGTTTGAAAGTCACGTGAAGGTCACTTTCAGTTTCTTAAATAGAAACCTCCATTTTTCATTGCATATTCTTATAGCTTACCTCGAGAGCTTCCCAAAACACTATAATAAAATATTTTTCATTAAGTATCTTTCGAATTAAAAGGCTTCAAAGTTACAATATTGTTGCCATTAGCATTGGTACCCAAGGTGTTCGACCG